ACCAGGTTGGTTCCACCACAGCTTCCTGTGGAGGGATGTTTCAAAGAGTAATTCCCTCCTCATAGAAATAGAGTTGAGCTAACATTTCACACGTTCTCCCAGTAAATGCACCAAGACGATCTCTCCCCTGTATTCAGTCACCAATGATTATTTTTTTTAAAAGGGATCTCTTAATTCCTTTCCTCATTTTAATTCATTTTAATGAGGCATAAAGGTGATTACATGATCACAGACCCACTTCCCTAAGAAAGCAGGCTACAAAACCCCATAAAGCAGAGTTTTTTTGAACAACAGATTACTATCTTATACTTCACCCTTTAAATTCTTGCATACCTGTGTGTCAGAGAATTTCAAAGCTAACAAAAAGATTAAGTGCCATGAGGGTTTTGAAGTACACAGTATTCCCATTCCTTGGTACAGGAAAATTTGAGGGCAAGACAGGTGAATCTGCAGACCTACCCAGCACTGTGTTGGTTTCCTGACTTCTTGTTTACTGCATGAAGCTACTCACATCCCTGAAAACTGAGAACCCGAGTACCACCACTGCTTCTGGGAGCAAGCTGGAGCCCCCAGAGCAGAGGGACAGTGCCTGGCTTAAAGTGCCTGGCCAGAACCAAACCAGGGCTCCTGTGGGGCTGCTGGTAGGTGTGAAAACATTCACTTTTCCAATCAGGAAATCCCCGTGCAGATGAGGGAGGGCTGATTACCTGCAATGGACAGAGTGATTTTAACTAATGAAGGTTTGAGAGAACTCCAAATCAAGACAGGAAAAGCTGAACAGAAGAAGAGTCACCATAGTCCTACCTGAAAACTACAAAGAATTAAAAGCTGATCTACGAACAGTACACATTTTTATTATACTATTTGAACTCCAGTACTCCAAAACTCAGCTGTGCATCTGATCAACAGATCTGGGGATGCTAAAGTGAAAAATCCTTCATTATCTCATTGAAAAAAAACTTCAAAGGCCTTCAGCTTGCACATCAGTGGACTAACCTGGACACACTCCACTACAGGAAGGACACCAGCCTAAACAGAGGGTTTAGCTTAGCTTTTCCTATCCCAAGAGGGGCTGACAAGGTCAGGCATAAAGCAGGGCTGCACGTGAGGTAAGGAATATGTACATCTAAACCAGAAAGCTAAGTGAGACGGCCCTTCCTAGGGTACCGTCCTAGTTAATTCTGCAACAGGGACAAGACAAAGGTGGGAAAAGGAGACGACAGCACCTGCCTCACACGCTTGGACACCAGGCAGTGTTCAGACTCGCACACCTACTTCAGTATTTCTGGACTATCTCTTAGTTGGTGCTCACATCAGCATCGGAAAAGATCGCTTGCTTCAGGGTAAGAGATATCTAGTAATAAATTCACTGATTTATATCTTTCACAACTTCAGCACACCACTTCTGTCTTTAAAAGGGAAAAAGAAAGATAAAAAGAAAAAAAACCCATCAACTTGCTGAAAGTGGCAACCACAACAAAGGAGTCCATATGTAGGAAAGTGCCTTCACAGCAGCAAAAAAAGGACTTAAATCATCACCATCTCTCTCTGCCCAAAGTCAAAAGGGCTTATTTGCAACTACTCCCTTTTTTCTTCAGTGGCCACCTCCTAGAGAGGCAGGGGAGAACACCTTATATCTTTCTAATACCTAAGTCATTTGATAACCTGCGGCTAAACCTGTGCCAAACAGTTTGGAGATTTATTTATGGTTACACTGAAGAAAACAAACCTCAAAACATCCCCAAAAATACCACACCCCAGGTGTCATTACCATTCAAAAGTTCCTTCAGCGTGTCGCAAAGATTTCCAGAAAAGAATAATTCAATCCCCACAAACTTCAACAAGAATCAGCTCGCTTTCTATGGCATTAAAAGGAACTTTTAAGAAATAATGGAAAACAAACTGGGGGGGGGAGAAATCTGGGTTTAGGTTCTGTGCAATTTGGGGCAAACACACCACGTTGTACGGGGTGAGGAGAGCTGCAGATTCTACGCTGAGACACACAGCTCAGTTGAGCTGCCTCGGTAGCAAAGAAGCAAGCACACTTACATTGTACTGAAATAATCTACACAGGTAGTTGCTGATTCACCTATGCAGAAGACTCCTCCATCTGCTGGGGCTTTGGCAATCCCAAGGCACATGCATTAGAAGTCAGAGTCACAAGCTTCTTGCCTTTGTGTGCAGGGTCAAAATGCAAGAGTCAAAGAAAAAACTTACATCTCCACATGCCATCCCACTGCTGAGGCCATCGGGTAATATCTCACTAAAAACCTCTAAGGAAAAACCAACTGCAACCAAAGATGTTACCTCAAAAAGTAATTCCAGATCCACCAGGTTTAGCCTCTGAGAGCCCTGGACCCCACTAAACTCCCCGTCAGAAGCAAACCCTGCGGTTACCTGCCCCAGATTAACAACACAACCAGCAACAATGCCGGGTCCCACACTGGCACTCCCAGAGGCTCAGTACATCTCAGCCAACACAGCAGACACCTTGGTAACACAGATGAAATGAGGTGCCAGGTGCTTTTCCAAGTGAGCTCAGGAAGGTAAGCTAGAAAGGATAACACAGCATGAGCACTCCTCAGAAAATAACTGCTGTCTGTTCTTCTGGTGTGATCCCTAAGGATCAAACACCTTGAAGGTATGAGCCTGGAAACTAAAGTTGGCAGCCACTGGAGACCTAAATTTATGGAATTAGACTCAGTTATGACGCTGGGTTTATGACCTTAGAAGACCTTCCACATCACCACACAGGTTTTCTAAAGTCCCCTCTTGTGCAACAAGGCTATAAATATCACCTGTGGTACCGACAGAGCTGCAAATACTCATCATCTCAAAAACTTCCAGCTTAGTTGATGTAAGGGAGCAGGAAACATAGGAAGAGAAAGAATTAAGGGCATAATTACCATATTTTCTCAGGAAAAAAGGCAGACTTTTGATTTCAGTGAAAAGGAGATGCAAACGGGGCTGTGCAGAAAGTGGGAAGAAGGGAGAACATGAGTACCTAAAAATAGCTGAAGTTACGTAGCCATTGCTTGAAATATGTATGTAAACTGACTTGCTGAGCTGCCTCCAGCAGTGCTGTGACAATACATATTTATAATACGTCTTCTATTGTAAACAGTTTGAGATGCACAGACCTGCCTTGTTCGAATCTCTTGAAAAACGCACAGCTTCCAGACCCCATCTGGTGGTGCGAGTGCCTTACAACAGCCTCAAGAGCCAAGACCACTTTGAAGCTTTCCAATGCACTGGTTTTTAAAAACAAACAATACGGTTAAGTTTCAGTTTTACTTCCACCTGAAAGAACGGCAATACTCTCAGGTCCTAGAAACAGAAAATCAGGTTTGCAGGATCACTAGTCAACCTGTAACCACGCTGGGCTTGTGCTAGTTCTACTTTAACAGTGCTTCACGTGCTGCTTTTGAGGAGCCAGGCCACTACATTCAGATCTTATTCATATACTGGGGGAGAAGGATCTCGATTGCTGCACTAGATCTGAAACACAAGAGATATCAAGCTGTGAATGAACGCTGGAAAAAGCAAAATGAATCAGCCTCTGTGTCCTGACTCAGTCAGCAAGACTAATCAAATTATGACTATTTCAAGTGAGCTAAACTTTCCACAATTCAGAGCTGTGCAACTGCCTCTAGGTTTCCCCACGCATGCCAAGAAATGCTGGCTTTTCAATTAACTTCTTCACTGTAGAAGCCAAGCATAAAGCAATTCCAGCTTCCCATCAGAAAATGAACCAATTTCACAGTATATGAACTAAACCTACTCATAATCAGGACTTTTTCCTAACCCTAAATGTATTTTATTTTTAACTTGTAGAGGTGTTTAGTGTTGCCTGAGTAAAGGAGCAGATAAAACCAACTCTTCTGGCTGGAGCCATGTAACAGCGAGCTAGGAGACAAATTCTCCCATAATTCAATCAAAGAAGAGCTGAAAATCCTCTGATTTTCTGGATAAATAAGTAAACGCAGCTCATTTGTTTCTGACAAGCAGTGGCATCTATACCTGAATTCCCTAACCTACTAGGATATCACTGCTCCATTCGGGGTTCTGAAAATTTAGAGCTCTTGGTTTAAACCTGCCCAATTAGCCATATTGCACTGACTGCCACACAAGTTTAGGAGTTCACAGCAAATCACACCTTTTCTGACAGCACATCAGCATCAAGCTGAACGAAGTTAAACTACAGCTCACCTGAGGAGTCTCTGCAGATCAAAACCAGGACTTCAGCATTAAGCCTGATCCTCTGCCAATGAGGGAAGGCCAGCGGACTCCTCTGGGCTCACCAAACCTCACCTCTGTGTGTGTTACTGCACGGTGCTGTGGGCCATAGTAGGTGTTATGTGAAGGTGTTACTGGCTGCAGTGCTGCTATTGGCCACCAACTTTGGAATTCCAAGCTTTTTATTTGCTTTCTGGATTTTGCAGGGGAGCAGCAGCAGGATTCCCCAGAACAGACTCTGGTTATGAAGCAAACCAAGAAGTGGTTGCATCAGTTTAACTCTGCTTCAGTCTGAGAACTGACAAAGAACAGGACACGGGGGAAATGAGTTTTACATGAAGTGCTATACTAACAGCAAATTCTTAACTACACAGAACCATTTCACCTTTCCAATACTGGAGGAGTGCTGCAGCCCTCCTTAACCCACTGCAAGTCACTACTTTGGCAATCCACAGCGAACATCTAAGTGTCTACACTTCCTCCCCTTTCTACCCATTCAACCCCTACTCATAAACCCCACTAGCACACACCATGCCAAAACAGCTGAAGTTTACCTGATGTGGTCATTTCTGCTGGCTCCACAGGTGGAATGACAGCTGAAAAACTGCCACGAAGGCCACAGGATTGTGAAGGAAAGGAGGAATTTCCCTTGACAGCTTAGGGGATAAAACCAAGTTCCTTACAAGTGAACTTCATGTGCAGCAATGGAAATAAAGAAGTAGGCTAGGGAAGGAATAGACAGGTCTAGCAATTTTATACTACAGTTACACATTGTGCTCCTCAAAGATCCCAGCAGTTAACACTTCCACATTGTGTGCCCCCAAAGCCTCTATTCCCTCATCCACCAGCGGTGTCACATTTTCTTGGATAATGATGACAGTATAAAAGAGAGCTATAAACCTGTGGAGCAGCAGGGATTTGCACCATTAGCAGACTTTTTTTGACAATGAGAAAAGCAGCTGATGCAGGAGCCTTTCTTTGCTGTGCTGCTGTTCTGGCACTCCAGGTACGTTGGCAGGTTCCTGTTTATCCCCAGGTTATGGAGAACTTCAGTGCTGCTTAACTCATTCTGCCGATAAAATTCTGCCCTCCCCTTTCATCATTCACAAAAGACTGTAGAATCCAGATCTGTCAAAGGTTATTAAGTCTGTCATACTGGTGCTAAACCTGGAGAAATATGAATTACGTGCCAAGAAGCATTACCAATTAAATTCTGCTACAGCTATTTTGTATTTGGCATTAGAAAGAATGATGCCACAGTACAGCTAAAAATGTGTGAGCACAAATTATTACCCCGTACACACGCAGTAGCCCCCAACAAGCTCACAGCGAGCACTTTGCCCTGTGGTTAAGGCTGAGGAAGAAGGCAGGAGAGCATCTAGACTGCAGATCTCCTGAGTTTCCATGACATGATAGCTGCTGCCACTCCAAGCAATAGTTCACCAACACATATATAAAAGCTGTGAACATTTTGGAGATCAAAGTCTTAAGGAGAACTGCTAAAAATAAGAAAAAAGCACTATTTCTGCTATGAGAAAGCAGCTGTTAAAGTTTGTAAGAGAAGAATTCCTCACTCAGGTAATCTGTTCCTGCACTTCTCAGGGTCAATGGCTGTATCCTCAGTGATACTTACTGCCCTGCTCTATGCCTGTAGCCTTGTACAACCTTTCTAGGAGCAATCCCATTGCACTTTGCTACCCAAGTGAAAGCCTTCATCTAAATTTTGAACGCATATAGAATTTCTGTTGTCATAAGCTATACCACTCTTCCAACATAATTCCTTTTACATTCGCAGTCTGAGAATAAATGTGTGAACAGAGACATGCTTTGGTGTAACTCCCTTTCAAAAACAAGACCAGCACAACCTACAGAAGTTCTTAAATCACAAAACAGAGGTAGAAGCTGAAAAACAAAGAATCCTGTAAATCCAGCATGAGGCCAGCTGGCTTGGCAAGAGGAAGCTTTGTTCACAGTAGTTCACATGAAAAAACCAGGCATGAACTGAAGTTAAAATGACAAATTTTATGGAAAAAAACCCTGCAACCCAAACCAAGAAACACCTGTAACTGGAAATATGTAAACATAAAAGTTGGGAGAAACTGTTACTTGAGGTGCTTAAACGTTTTTCTGATTGTTATGATTAAAAAAAAAAGGAAATTACTTCAAAATCTGAAAGACGGAAAAGACTTCAACAGAAGCTTAATCTTTCGCGGATGTGAAACTCTGGTATCACACATTGCACGTGTCCGCTTTAGAACCCAGTCGAACCACACTTCATACTGCAAACTTACCTTCTTCTCATTTGTTTAAAACGCTCGGCAAACCTGGAAGCACACGATGCAGCCAAACTGCTTATCCAGGTGTCTAGGAAGTCATATAAAGCTCTCAAGTGTTGAGTAAAAAGCTGCCTTGACCACGGTCTTTAGCCAGCCACTGAAAACTGAGCTGGGTATCAAAAACCCAACTGTAAGCCAGGCAGTGTCCACCCATGGCTTCTTCCAGCACTAGCAGGGCAGTGCTAAATGCAATAATGTGAACTTGACACAAGAATCCTGAGTTCATCTGCAGTGGTGAGGCCAGACAGGCTTCATATATCCAAAAATATCACTTACCTTACCATTGAAGATCTAGCCCAAATTAGACAGTACGTATGTAACTTACGCAGAATAATTTAAATCAGCATTACTAAAATTGCTATTAACTTTGTTCTGCATCTTTTCTTACCATCGTATGTGTGGACTTCAAAAAAAGAAGAGCACAGCAAGCCATCGCCTCTCAAGAAAAAGAAATAGCAAAGCTTAAGACAAGGACAGCCAGATCTTACCTCTGAGGTTTACGAATATCCCAGAGTCCCACACCTTCTTTAGAGTTGGCAGTAGCCAGTAACCTGGGTTCTACTGGATTAAACATCACACTGTGAAAGGCTGATGGGTAGTGTGCCAAGCAGAAGGGCTCTGTTGAAAAAGGTGAGATTTCAGACATAAGAACAAACACCGCACACAACGGTTCGATGCCATGAGCCTGGCAGCTTCATATGGGAACAGTTTGACAAGATCTGAAGATACAGAGATGTGATCAAACCATTTCTCAAGATGACGCATCCAAAACAAGATAAAAACCGAGGTTTTCAAATCGATCCACGTGTACCCAAATACAGAAAAGGACACATACTGGATCTCAAGACACCGTTGTGCTTATCAAGAGTTATCAGTTTAAAACTAGCCACTTAAAGATCAAGTATTGGAATCTTCTCAAGATCCATCACCAAATGGTCACATAGTAAGGACTTCACACGGGGGGCTTCTGAAAGTTTCCTAGCAATATATACCTGGATGCTTCCAAAGCCACTGATGACCACCCCACCTGTAAATACAGCAGCAATTGTTTATGTGAGAGAATTGTATTATAAGTGAAATAACTTTGTTCAGAGCTCAGCCTAAAACAAGCAGCCAGCTTGTGCAGGAAAGAGCCTGTCACCTCCTAAGTGCCACGCAAGCCGCTGTGCTAGACAAGAAGGGCGTTTCTCTTGCATAAAAATGTTGACAGTTGGCTTTTGCTGTTCACAGAGTTAAAACATGCTCAGCCAGACTCCCCTGCAATAAGACTGTGTTTGGCCTGCTACTCTGCCCTATTTATTCCATCATAATGCTGCCTCCATGAAGTGGGGAAAAGCCTTGACTCTATCATCCTTCCCTGTATCTTTCTGCTAGCTTTATGTTTTTAGGCACAGCCCAATTCTCTTTGTTGTGTGTATCTCTTGTGGCACGCTGCCACTCTTCCACTCAACTAAGAAACCAGAATCAAGGCCTATTTTGAGCCAGGGATTACGCCAGGCTTCTCCACTCGCCATTTGCTGTGTTGTTCACATGCCTGGGAGACTCTCTTATTGCCCTTATTCAAGATGCTGTGTGCAGGCACCCTTAACCCTGCAAGCACCTCCAAAGTACCTCACTTTCTTTCCTCGTATCTCTCACTAAGACATAAAATACGGTTAAACAGATAACCCTCCCAAATTCCCGATACCTTCTGAAACTACTGCCCATCAAGCAACTGAGACAAAAGTTAGGTTGAGCTGTCCTAACCCATCTGTATCCTCCTCTCATGCTTTACTACAGACATTTTGACACAGGGACTTTCTTCTTTAGCATTCATTTAGTAGTGATCAAAACAAAGGTCTCTGGCCATGGCTGAAGCTCCCTGGTGCTATTAACTGACATAGGAGGCAGAGGAAAGGAAAGCAAGGTAAAGGAGCAAAGTTTTGTCCTGCCAGCCTGCCCAAAGTCTTTAGAGATTGCTCTTGGTCTGCCAGCAGTTCCAAATCAGGTTTAACACCAAAACTGCCCTGCGCTTGCGTTATCACATCACATCCCTGCTGGGACACAAAAGGCTGTGTCACTAAAACGGCAGCGCTCACTGAGGAGCAGTGGCAAACAACATCGGGCTGCCAAATAAAGGAACTGGTTTTCTCAAGTAAACTTTTAATCTGGGTATGTTTAGTCAAAGCACAGTCAATAATCACCGGTGTTTTTCTTCACCCCTTTATTATAAACAGCCTGGCCTGGTACCACAGTCTTCCTCTAAGATACGAGAAGTTGCCTTTCAGCCTGTCAAATTAAAGACAGATTACAGGAGCTGAACTAATGAGGCACTAAGTCACTTTAATGAAAAGTAGGAGGATTACGTTTTTACTGTTCTTTATGCTCATTCACCGTTGTAGCTCATACACTGGAGTATGAAAATGTTTCTCAAGGGAGCAGCTCAACACCACCTCTAACAAAAATTAAAAGTGGGTTTATAAAAATTACTGCATAAATCACTCAGCAGTGAAAGACAGAGAAACAGAAGAGAAATGAAACTCATTTTCCAGCTTCTCTTAATGCACTATTTTAAACTAGGAGGCTATTTGCAAGATCTTAATGAGCTGGCGACTCAGGGTAACCTATACCAACCATACACGCTGGCAGGCACCGTGCCTGTTCCCATGACAAAACCCTTGCAGACAAGGGATTACCCCAGTGACAAGCACTATACTGTAGTAAACATTGGCAACATAAACGCTGACTCAGGGCTCCTGTATAAGCACACGAAAGCTCTTTATTAAAAATTCGGAGAACCTAAGACAACACTCCAAAAAAGCCCCAAACGTACCACAGCCAACACTTCTCCGCTCCATTTGCACTGGTACAGCCTTCTCAAAGTGTCAGCAACAGTGAAAGCAGCAGCAAGGCTTCACTCCAACAAAGGACAAACCTCATCTCGTACCATTTCGGAAACTCAGCTCAGGTTGCACATTAGCTCAGATACTGAGCAGCTTCGTGCAGATGCATTTACACATCCAGTCCCACCCACTGTCAGCAACAGGGAAAGGCAATAAAGGAGCATTTCACCAATTCTAACTTGGCAATCCTATTCAGTGTCTGAATTATCACCTGGGTATTATGAAAACAGGAAAACAGGGATGCAGTGACACTTGGTAAATTAGTCACATCAGACCAATTTGATCTGTTTTTCTGAGATAGTAACCAACCTTTTATACAGGGCAAGAGTGGTACATCTAATGAGGACCAAATTCACATCTGGTAAGGTAGCGAGTTTAGCTCCAGGCAGCTGGCATTAGCAAAGGGAGCTGCACAGGGTAAGGAACTGGCTGAGAGGAAGACAGGAGTTCACTGTGGAGTAAGGGATATCTGAGCAACAGGGAGGTTATCAGTGAGTTCCTCAAAGACTAATGCAGAGAATAGACATTATACATACTGTTATTAAAGTCTGTGATGTACATATACTGAGTGTGTGCATCGTTTTTCAGAGTGTTTTAATAAAATTACCAGAAGGGAAAGTGATAAGGGGTGTCACAAGTGCACAACAGAATCAGAATTCACAGTCAGAATCAAGCTACTGAAAACTGAATGCATTTAGTGTATTTAATTTTTATTTATACACAGGCAATATCCTTGGGGTCGGGAGGGCATCAATAAGCAATCTACTCCAAGTATTCTGGTGGGACTTACCAAGAAAGACCTAATTCTGGTTACACACATTCAGTACAGCTCTCATGATGCTAGTGGCTCCAACAGACTCCTATGAGACTGTAAGCTACATCTTGTTTCAACTTTCATTTCCTAGTCAGAAAGGGGCAGGAGCGCATTCTAGAAAAGTTATCAAATTCATTAGGGACGGAAAAAGCTAATTTGGGTAAAGAGCAACTTGGATCCAACAAAAAACGTGCACAAATTTCCACAAGCTGAATTTCAGTGCCATAAACAACCCTGCTGTAAGACTGGTAAAAACTACGAGTTGAGAGAACTGAATTTAACCAGCTTACAAAGAAGAGGAAAGTTTATTTTGGCTATGATGGAAGGGAACCAGATTCTGCACTCCTGCAGGTCATTCAGTTTTAAATTCTCTCTTGTGTTCCTTAGGATGGGGTAAACTCACAACATCATTTACTGAAGTATTCGTATGCTGAAACCCAGTTACTGAAGTATTCCTCTCCAAATTCATGTCACTACAGTTCTAAACTGAGACTCTTTAACCTTAAAAGTGCAGCTGTAAAAACACAAATCGTAGTGTTGAGAAGCTGCAGGTTTGTTACCTAAATCAACAGTACTCAGTTCTGCTTTAGAAAACAAAGATGGAAGTAATAATTCAACTTCCCTGTTATCACATAAAGGCTTCAATTTTCCATACAACCAGAAAACACTACACAGAAGAACAAGTCTTAGTACCACTGAAGTATATAAATAGCTCTGGAAAATTACTCAAATCAAAATAGCAGCTTTCTTAAACATCCAAACATTTTTATTCCAGGCGGCAGACAGAAACAAAACCAAAATGCACATCCCTGATGGATTTCAAGTTTAGCAAGATGCTTTTTCTGAAGAAACATGCCTTCCACTGCTTCCTTACTCGAGTTAAAACCTATTCATGCCAAGCTCTATGCTACCCTGCGCTATACGCTGGTCCTTCATGAAGTCATTTAAGAGAGTAACTCTGAACTGTGAAGGCCAGGGCTTGCCTATCACCAGCCACAGGAATTAGGCCTCACTTTCACCCTTCTCCAACTCTCCCTGTCTTGACTGCCCCAGATAAACACAACTTTTCCCTTCCCTGGCTCGCCCAAATTCTTCCTGAATCAAAGGTCTTTTCCATCCAGAGATCTCACCTCCATGGGAAGACTCTCGGATGTCCCAGATAAGAACCCGTCCATCATCGGATGAACTGGCAAAGATGTTGTCGTTCACTGGGCTCACTGAAAGGCCGTACACTGCATCTTCATGGGCGAACACGTCCAACGTCTCAGTGCTGGAAAAAAAAAGACAAATATTATCATTCTTTCTCCTTTCGCTGTTGTTTTAAAAAGCAAAGCACTTACAGCTTGATCTACCTAGCGATACTTAGTGACAAGGTGTCATGCTGCAAGGGGAAAAAATCCACAACAACAACCCGTCAGACCAAAACCCACTCAGTAAAAACTGCAGAAACTGCAAGATGCTATGGAAATCATGTTGTACTACATTAAGATTAGGAGGAGGTAATAGAAAAGAGGTCTTGAGACCTGTGGAATCAATTCTTACTGCTTAATGTAAAAAGGAAACCAAGACTGAAGTAGATTTCCTAATACAAGCTTCTGTATCATCCAGAAGTTCAGCTGAAGCTCACAAAGGAGCACCTTTCCAGCTGTCTCTTAAATAAGTCTTCTCGGTTCTCCATGACAGACCAGCCTTACACTTTTTCTAATGTAAAAAAGCAGCAAAAAAAGAACAAAAGTGCCCCAAAAGTACCCAGATTTCAGCCTTTCCGCAGCTATAAAAAAGAAAAAGCCTGCTCTCCACTCTTAAATCCCCTACTTTTTAAATCATTTTAAAAAGTGAGGAAATAGCGGAGAGGCCAATAGCTAAAATACTAAGACAGAAGATTCTGGGGTTGTTTTATTTCTTTGACAAAGCCCATTCATTTCTTTAGAGAATACACTTTGTATACAATCCCCATACCTGAAGGAAACTCCACCCAAGAGATCCCATGGAAAATCAATGTTTTGCAATTGCTGTTCTTAGTGACAGGTCATTAATTCTGTCTCAAGGACCATTAACAGGCCAAAGAAGCAGTAACAGAAAGAGCCATTTCGAAGTACGAATAAGCAGTCGATAGACCAAGTGTTATCATTCAAGAAGCAGAGTAACTTCCTACAGAAATCAATCAGAACTCAGAGTGCAGACCAGTAAGGGCTCTTACAGCAGATCATGCAAACAGCCTTAGAGGAATGAACTGTGTGCACTGCAACTGGACTTGGCATATCTGAACAAACTAAAAGAGACCCTGATAACAGAAGCACATTAAAAATACACACATATAAAAAAAGACCTGTTAAAACATCTGAGCAAGCCATAGCAAGCAAAAATGTTTTACATAAACAACTGTCAGGGACAAAAGTCTTGTGGAAGTTTGAAAAGTCAGAACACAACAAACAGCAGCATCTAAAATGTTGACGTTTCCATGTTTAATTAAAAAAACCCAACCACACAACAAAAATCAAAACACCAAACAAAAAAACAATCCTCCCAAAAAACCAAAACCCTCCCAAACCAAACAGAAAATGTGCAAAGCACGCCCCCAAAAAACCCCAAAAGGCCAAACCAAAACCCCAACCAAACACCACAATATTACTGAGGAAGCATGAGAAGAGTAAGACAAAATTACTTTTGCCCAGCTCTCCTGTGAGATCTACACAAGAAGTAGATCCAATAATGCAAGGCAGATGCACACTGACCAGTTCAATGCAAAAGGCTTTGGACAAACCTAGCAAGAAATACGTCCAAATTATGTTAACCTAGATTTAGGTGACTCAAAGATTTCAGGTTTTCTATTTCTCTGTTCTTGTATATATCTCTTGCTGCTTTTTCTTTCTACTTGAGTTTTTGAGCTCATGTTATTTAAACAGTCAATAGAAGTTATTAGTACAGAGTAAAACTTTAACTTCTTAGTTGTTCTACTTCGAAAGCAGTAAGCTCAAAAGACATGATATGCTATCTAGAGAACCCAAATGTAACACACTACCACTGGTGTATTAATTGTAGCTTGACTAACAGCCTAATCTTCACGTAGCACAAGAAAAGCTAACTCCTAACTGGTGTGCAGTTTTGGTAAAAAGGAAGTATCAAAATAAATACGCTTCACATTGCTGTGGAGAGTCAGGCAGCCGCAGCCAAAGATTTCACAGGTAGGCAGACAGCCCAAGCTCTAGCTATCTTAAATACAAATAAGGTCAGTGTTTTGAAAAACAACTAAAAAAGCCCGTATGTGCCACAGTACTTGCATGTATGCCAGAATAATCTGGCTCTGAATGTCCTCAGAAAATGCCATGCTGCCTGCAGGAGAACACATGTATTTAATAACCATACTCCTGCCCAAGGTCAAAATGATGCAGATCCAAGTGCTTAAAAAATGGGGAGATGGGGAATACCTCAATCCAGATATGAATTTAGACAAATAAAAAGCATGTTTCAGGATTAAAAGACTGTGCCCTTCTACCAGACCATTAATTTAAGACAAAAAGTGCCTCTGGTGAGTTGACATTAAGGGAGCCCTTGAAGCAGTGGAAACACAAACCGTGTATTTACCTTTCGACATCATGGAGTATAACTTGCTCATCATTGCCTATAAAGAGAAACAGAAACACTTAACATCATGTTCCAGTGGTTAAAAAGCATTAGGATAAAAAAAATGAAAACAGTTTGGTTTTACAGATTTTCTATTTTGAAAACAAGCCAGAGAAGCAGAGAGAAGACCCTTTCAGCTGCCAGTGCTCAGCCCTCAGCTCAGGTACGTGAAAGGCTCCGCGTGACGTTTCCAGTCGTGACCACATGTACCAATCCATTCCGCCTGCCACTGCTCAACAAATACTTTTACTTAACTGTGCTACTGATTATTCTTTGTCCAGTTTGAGTTGGAGTTTTGGGGCACTTGCGGTAAAGAGAAGAATATTATAAGAAGTTGCAGAACACCTTGAACTCTCATGCAAATACACCTTTCCTCCTGCTCAGAGGGCGAAAAGAGATGGCATAAGCAAAATGCACTGAGCTCCCAAGCCGAAAGCCCACAAAGCCACATTTTCATGCTCAGAATGTTTCTGAGTTGTGATATCAAGTTGTGAAGCTTTTCCCATGCACCAAAGCCAGAAGTTCCGAAGGAGGAAGATTTCACGTTACGATTTGTAAGTGTTCACTTGACACAGTTTTCCCTCATCCCATCACATTTAAATTCGTGTGTCCAACAGAAGACATACGAGCAAGTTTCTCTTTGACTAATGAGGTGCGAGATTCTTCTACAACCACTTGCTCTTTGCACAGGCTCCCAGTTAAACTGTGCCAGCCCTAGATTACCCCAGTAGCTCATCTTTTCCATGATACAACAAACAGGTCGCTCATGTCTAAGTGTCCTCTGGTCATTAATTGCAATGGAAACTGTCCATTATACATTACAGGCAAGGTTTACACCTAGTGAAACTACTCTAGTTCCTACATACTTCACCAGGGACAAACAAAGCCGGGTTTCTCTGATGACAAAACTCCCTCCAGCAGACACTCCTGCTCCTCACCCTCCACACAGTAAAAAAGCAAGAATCACTTTAGATACCTGGCTTCAGGCCTCTTGTCATCATGGGAGCAACCTTCCCTTCCATCACAAGCTCCAAAATGGGCAAGAAAGAACAGAAGAAGGGGGTGTGTGGAATAACCACTGCTTCTCTCCATTCTGTGTGTGGCAGGAGGTGGTGGTGACAAAAAAAGCTACCACAAACTGAACTGTTGCTTTTGCTGAGGATTCCTCCCTGAAGAAAATGTCACTGCTGTTCAGTCCAGTAGGGTTCCCACTTACAGTGTTTTACTTTAAAAAAAACAGAGGTCATTCTCCATTGAGAATAACTGGGTTGTAACTGTATATGCAACTCTCCCATTTATAATCTCTCATCTTTTGATAACTGCAGTTACTTCTTGTCTCTCTGATCACTGTATCTGCTATTCCCTTCAATTATACCTGTGAGAATGAAATACTGCAGAGCACGTTCAGAGGAGCACAGTTAAAGTGGCCTAAACCCTCTGTCACATCAGGCCTCTAGAGAAACAAATTCAGTTCCTTGTAGGTTTATTTCAGCTTTTCATATACCAAACATTAAGAGCAAAAAAACCAAACCTCTATGCAGTTTACTAAGGAGCAATTTCTCATTGCAAATGCAAAACACTGTCCACTCGGTGCCTGCCTTCCACTTCGTAACTGGTACATGTGGTGCATGCTACACGTGTGCTCCTTCAGAGCAGAGAGCTTTGAAATTCCTTGGATGAAAATCAATTTGTACTGAAGTGGAAAATCCTCCCTCCTCTGCTATCAAGAGCTGCTTTAGGGAAAGGTCTTCAGATCCTAACTCACTAGATGTTGGCAGCTTTATTTACAGAATGAACTGAGCTCTGTGTGCCTTGTGATAGGTTCCATACTCTCATTTTTAGGGTTTAAGTATTCTGACTTCTATATTTTGAACAAAACTCCAACTTCAGTACTGGGGGGATGACAACCAATAGATCTTTGCACCCACAATTCTCTCAGACCTTTAAAGAATCTCCCAGAACACTGTTGAGTGAATAAATATATTTAGCCCCATTTTACCGACAGAGACAAAACAGATGGCACATCTAGGCCATGCAGCAAAATGACTCTTTACAAGGGATCTAAGAGTCAGACTCGCAGCCCTTGCAGATGAGCTCTGTGAGTCTTGGTGGAGCAGCTGAAAGAGTTCCTGACTCCTCCAATGGAAATAATTTTTGGCAGAGGCATAGTGCAAACTGGAGGAGGAAAAAGAGATGAGAAGGGCCAGTTTGTCTGTGCATCAGCTGTCACAGCTCATCTAATGTGGCATGTTAACAAAAATCCACCATAATCAGTGACGTAAATCTACAACTGCAGGTGTTAACTGCAGTGACAAGGTACAGTCAAATCCACTTTGCTGCTCCTCCTGTGAAAACAGCCGCCTCCTACAGCAGGCCCAGTGGACAGAGGGCCGAGTTGGAAATTAGAAAATACCATTACAGCTGTTCCAGCAAGATTTGGCACACTTCATTCCTTGAATATTCATATAAGGTCCCATTTGTCTGAACTCAGCCTAAAGTAAAAGACACCAGCCCAAAATTTCACTGTAATCATTCATTTGAAGACAGCATGGACTGCTCTCTTTGATAAAAGAAACTGCAGTCCCCAGAATCAAAGACAGGCATCACTATTAGACATTTGTGGGGTTTTCTCCACCTGAGATGCATATCTGAATCATTTAATCCTTAAAATCTGACATCATCTTAAGCTTTGTCATGCCTTTTTTCCTAAGGGATGTCGTAGTTTTAACACAGTGTTGAAGGACGGGAAGCTTCCACCATTCATGCTAAGAATCAATTTACCACACTGGTTTGCGGTTCACAAATCTTGGTTCACAAAGGTAATGAAGGGCTCTGAGCAGTCTCATAATACCCTAAAATAAGTCTAGCTGTATGTTGGACATACTGATGAAAGATACAAACTCCTGTCCATTCTATTATCACAGAATGGTTTGGGTTGGTACCTTCGTGTCAGTACAGTAAAAAATGACACTGGCTGCATTTTGACAGCCTTGTACCTTTTTCTTCTCAATTCAATTTTCGTCCCTACTTCAAAAATAAAGTGGTGAAAAGCACCTAAATTCTAAAGACTATTACCCCAGAAAAAGTACATGTCCAATTTCCTCATATTAGTCTTAAGACTGAATTCTTAAGACTGAATTCAACTTTCTGCTAAAAAGGGATTTATATTTAAAAAGACGAAGAATATCAAGGCCAGTTAGAGTCCAATGTGCCAAGAGTTCTAAAAGGCAGACGTATGTCTAGTGAGGACTGAAATGAGGTCTGAGAAGCAGCGATCCACCAATAGATGGCAACAGCCCTTCATTAGCCATCTAAGGGTGTGTTAAAATCAGCTAGGAGCAGCAGAGATTTTCAAGCATCAGGCTTGAGTGCCAGAGAGGACACAGGGGCTGGTCTCAGGGAATAAGAGAGGGAATAAAGAAAGACCATGTTCCACAATGTGTAACACAAGTAGGGGCAGACAGAAGTCAGGATTCTCATGAGAGCTCGAGACAATTCACTGACACCAGTGTCTGAGAAAAGGTGAACCATCACAACATTGAAAACACTGTGCTAGCTAAAGAATTCCCTGTTCCCAAGGAACCTTCAGCTGCTGCTGAACGACACCTTCCAGATCCTTAGGGGACTACAGAAAACACCTTTCATGTGGGGCAGAATCTCACTTGTGGCTTCTATTCTAAGGCATTCACAATGCAAACTCCTATGAAATCAGGGTGCTCTTCCTTCCTTACCTCCGGAGAACACTTTTGTATTGCCACTGTTGAAAGCCAGGCAGAAGATATTAGAGTGATGCTCTCCTTTCAGCTGAACTGGTTTGACTCTTGAGTGGATGGCTTCTTCCATATGCCAAAGTAAGACCCGGCGGTCATCCCCTCCTAGAAGAAAGCAAGGACAGGTACATTACTGCCTAATCCATATGGAAACTGATGACAAGTTAATTAACTCTGCAGTTATTCATAAAAGGCTTTGCTGAAACCCTAATTAGCATAAAAATGTTATACCTCACAAGGGTTTGGATATACAGATATACATTCAGATGCCATGCAGTCAAGGTATTCAATTAATGTTCAAGAAAACAGAGGAATGAGCAGGGCAAGTCTGGATTAAACAGCGGCCATTCTGCCAGCACAGTGACAACCCCTAGCAACCAGGAGACTCGGAATTGTACATTTTTTAATGTAAAATTCTGTGGCAAGCTGTAGACGAATTACATGCTAAATTAGCATATGCATGTTGGCAAAGTGCTCCTACACCAGCTCCGTGTTGCCAGCATCACTTATGTTATTCATGAAACAAGAACTTTTTCCTCCTTTCGCCAACAACTGCATCTCCTCAAGCAGCCTTTGCAAAGCCCTCACAGCACAGGCTGGCTGCAGGACTGACATGTGCCCAAAAAAAGACTTTACTGAAGCATTCAGCCTCCAGCATGGACAGTTATGTCTTGCCTCTAGATCTGCAATAGTTAACACCGACATTTCTGAGGTGAGCTTCTGACAGAGATTAACTAGAAAAGAAGTTCAACTCTCCCTTGCTTCACAGCTTGCTGTACTGCTCCTTGCTTGCCTGCAGTTCTCAGTTCAGAGCTCTGTGTGCAAATAAATTCAAGTGCCTCCTACTCTGTCTAGTAAACAGATGAAATAAGTATTAGGTGCTGTTCACACTTCAATTGCATTAAACTTATTTATTAGGAAGAGCAAAAGTTCAAGACACTATTGTATTGGACAGCACTTTCAACATCAGTTTTGGATGGTTGTAAAAATCTGAATCAAGCTTCTTCAAGTCAGACTCAAAATGTTTTTGGTGTCTGTCTTTAACAACAAAGAAAGGAGAACAGCATCACAAGTCAGAAGCGCCACCAGAAACACCCCGATTTCAATTAAAACATGTTACTACTTCTTTGCACGATCAGAAGCACAAACATCGTGCCTTCCCAGGTGCTATCCAGAAGGAAGAGGGCATGAAATGGAGGCAACAGGGAACAGAATAAATTGCAGTTGGTCCGTGGTTTACTTCAAGAAGAGGTAAATACACAAATAGAATTCATGACTACCGTTAATCAGATTTCTTAAAACTGTTCCCATCATATGATGCTATTAAGAAGTTTTCCCACGGAACCGAGTTATGGCAAACATCCTTTAACAGCCTCTCAGCCTTTAAGTCGCCTAACAGATCTTTATGACAATCACTTCGATAGACAGCACAGCTGCATGTTATGCTTACCCATGCTCCATGAAATTAGTTGTGGATTCCTCCCCCTGGTTTTGTGCTTTACAGAGCAAACAAGAATAGACAATAAAAAGATTTGTGATGCATTTGATAACTATCGAGAATGAGAGTCAAATGTGATGGGTCCAGAAAAACTCACAGTAATTTATGGTCAGCTGAACTGATGGGAGCTTAGACTCCTTTCTGTCTAGAAACAGGAAAGAAAGTTGTATTTGCATCCTAGTGACTGCAGATGAGATGCACTAATGAGGAGATAGAGATACATGATGGCTGACACATATGACCACATCAGTAACGCTAAAATCAAAAAGTGACGATTGTCACACTTAAAGTGGATACCTTCCAAAACTGCTAACAGCCAGGTCCTAATGTTATCATTACCTGGCAAGCAATTTAAGCAACATTTAAGGCTGGGGAACACCGGTACAGCTTCTATCAGATGAAACTTATTGTCTTTCAAGACTTCTGTAAAAGACATTTCAGGGCAAAACATAATAATGTTCTGTTGTTAATTGTCACCACAGCAAACCAATGTGCAGAACTACTGCAGTAAGTCTACACGTCCTCCTGCCTGACAGCACCACCATTTAGGTGTCTCACTTCAACAGTAAACTCCTCTTCGATTCCACTACCCACGTAATCCAGAAACAAACAGAAATAACGACGATATCCAAAGGCAACAAACACTGCTGTGGTTTCCTCATACAGTGTGCTAGGAGAGGGATAAATGGCAACCTGCACAGAAAAACCTTTGACAGCGTTAAAAGCTGCCACTACCTCCTTTTTCATAACTCCCTCTACCTTAGCGCCTGTTTCCATCCAGCTTCGAAACAACTCTTCCAACCAAAGAACTAAATCCAGTTGTGACCAGTCACAAGT